TATAGGCTTTTTAACATCGAAAATTAATCTCAAAATTTCCACCATTTGGTGCTTTCAATATGATATAGAATTAATCATTTGGTTACAAGAACGAGTGTATATATCAATACGGAAAAAATGTTTTATATTTTTTTATAATATAGCCCGAAGGATAAGAAAAATTTCCGTGTTTACAAGCGGCGGAAAATTTCCCGTGTTGATATAACTCAATGTCAACACGGGAAATTTCCGCCGCTTCTAAACACGCAAATTTTTCTTATCCTTCGGGCTTTTGACATCGCTATATTATAAAAAAATATAAAACATTTTTTTCCGTATTGATATATAGTTATATCAACACTCGTGGAAGTTGGAAAAACTCGAAATTGTATGAAAACACTCCGCCCTTCGGGCGTGGTGTTTCCATACAATTTCTCGTTTTCCTAATTCCACTCGTGTTGATATAACTGTATATCAACACGGAAAATGTTTTATATTTGTTAAATATAATGACATTTATCACTCAAACTAACCTCTCGTTTTATCTTTTAATGTAGTTTTCACTTCATCTGGACCATTAGGCAGTAATGGCGTAATTTCGTCAATGTTTTTGTCCATTGAAATTTCACTACCATTTTCAACGATTTCCGCAGAATCACGAAGCGTATATGAATTAAGGAAAATTTCAACAGCCGTTGCAAGAAGGCATATTCCGATCAAAAATCCGCAGAATACGCTAAAAATACGGGAATTAACGTTACGGTGCTGAAATTGCATGTGCTTAAAAATTAAATTAAATTAAATAAGATATCACTTCCTCGTTGGTGAATTAATTAGGGACAAAATCTCAGGTCGCTTAACGAAATCTGTATTCTGTAGGGTAAGTAGCTAGCATGTTTAGCAATCAAACCAATGAAAGACGTAACAAATATCAGTAAGTGCCACATAAGGCCAGATTTTCTTATTTTTCACCAAACATGGTTGCGCTTAAGCGATAAAACGATAAGGTTCCAAAAGAGCTTTAAGCTTCAAATAAAATGGAAATTGGAAGTGAAATATTCTTTACTATACATACATTGTTATAACAACAGATGAAGTATACTCCGGATCTTCCGCACATTCCACTTTAAATGGTTTCGCGAGTAAAGGTTGAACATTTAGATGTGAAACTAAAGACAACAGATAATTAAAATATCAGGATGCCATTTATATTGATACAATTTCAAGGTTCACGATAAAGGTCCGAATTGATAAACAAATACTATTATATACATGACAAAAGTACTGCAATCTGATTGGTTAAGAGGAGTGCAATTATTTCATTAATTGCACCCTCCAGGAGTGCAATTAATGATTTTCGTGATGGCTGGAGGGGAGCGGGAAATCAAAACAACAAAAATCCAGTATGGCGGCGAAATTTATCTTGTATAAATAACAAACGTGGACGAATTTAACTATATTTTGGCACAAGAATGGTCAAGAATGAGTTTAAGAAACATACATGCCTGTGGAAAATACCTGGAAACAGTTTTAAGAAATAATCTCGGCGGGATGCAGCCGAAACGTGACTATGTAGCCTGAGTCTGTAATACAATTTATAAAGATTTTTGTACTCAAAAATATGTTGTTTGAATTTCAATCATGTGTTCTAGTTTAAGTTATGACTTATGTGCCTTTATGAGTTTATGATCATTTACCAATTAGTTTGTTTATGCCAAATTGCTTACAAAAGAATTAAAAACTCTTGACAAAATGCAGTTGAATTTTAAAGAAAGCGAGTTTGTCATGCATATAATAACTAAACAAGACGCTCTGTGGAGCGTTAACTCGCTGGGGCTACACAACTGACGCACATTACTGTTAAGATCTAAAGGCCTGATTCCACGAACGCTTGTTCTCGGCGAACTGCGAATTATTTCGCCTGTTTCTTTTGAATTGCGACTACTCGAATAAATTAGTTCTACTTGATTGCTAACAATTCAAAAGAAACAGGCGAAATATTTCGCATTTCGCCAAGAAAAAGCGCCCGTGGAATCAGGCCTTTAAAGGCTGATTTCCACTGTTGCGTTTTTCGTACGCACGTATACACGGCTACACGCACGTAAAACTTTGAATCCTTCTATTTTCAAATATTTTACAAATAAGTTAACAAATTCATACTAAAACTTGCGGAGCAGTAAATTCTGTTGCTTTATTTATTTGGTTATTTTACAGATTTAAAGTTTTACGTGCGTATATTAAGCCTGGTGTGGAAATTAAGCCTGGCCATAAACGCCGGAAGTTTCCCCTTTAGCTCGGGCCCACAAGTAAAGTTATATTTTATAGTTTAGCTCGGGCCCACAAGTAAAGTTATATTTTATAGTACGCTACATTCTTCTGTCGGCCGCCAGTTTAAAACGTTCAAAATAAAATATTTTGGGGCTTTTCGGCTCAAAATATTATCAAAATGAAGAGAGAAGTGAGACGACTCCACTGGTGTACGGCCGAAAAAGAGAAAACCAATGATACCAAAGTTATCAAGGATCAAACGTACTGCATCTTTTATAATTTGAGCGATTTGTCAACAAATAATACAATTTCGCTTGGCTTTCAAAGACAAAGTCAGAGGCCATAAATCGCTAGAATACTGTTGTCAGTTGTTTAGTAATACATTTGACATCCGTAGGTACAACTTCTCATCCGTAAGTACAATTTCTTATGCTGATTCGAACGGTGGTATTTTTATTCTTATTGCGCCATTAATTAGGCAATACAAATACAAGGTCAAGGACAAACGTACT